AACGACCCCGTTTTCAAAAAAAAAAAAAAAAAAATTATGGCCGGTTTTTTGGCCCGCCCGGTTTACCCGGGCGGCTCCCCCGGGCCCAACCGGCCGGGCCGAACCACCGAGCTCTATATTCTATTTCAACTTCTGATGTTCTGATAATGTATTTCTATGAATTATACTGGTGTCAGTTCTGTAAAGTTGATTTCAATTATCAGGTGGTTTACTGTCGCGCGCTGTTGAGATTAGATGGAAGTGGATCATCCTGTTGCAGCGGCTCAGTCTTTTGCTCCACTTTTAATCGGTTGATTTTACCAAGAAAGGACGTAATTGCAAAGTATAAGAAAACTAAACTGATGCAATTTGTCCAATAGTTACATAGGGTGCTTCCACAGGTTGACATCCAATCCAGCCTAGAAGTAAACAATCTGCCACAAGTAACCAAAAATGTTTTTGCTGAATGTATGCATCAACGCATACTATTCATTTTCTCCTTGGAGCATCACATGAGGGATGCTGGAGTTGCTCCCTGAACCCGAAGTCGGGTGATGGGTCCTGTATCATCTTTCTATTCCATTTCACAATCGAAGCCTTGGGCACTGGGCCCTTTTTTAACAAAGAAACAATTTGGAACTATGCCCTCAAAATGCAATCTGTACTTAATCACAGCCAAATACATCCAGGAAATGCAAGTGTAAGTTTTCCCTTGAACAGTGGTTCAGGACTTCAGGAAATATAACGATCCATTGCCAAAACATCCCAAGAATCGCTTCCTGTTTCAGCCTTTAGGAATACAGACTTCATTCTGTTCTGCAGTATTCCAAGTTACAGCTCTTGCCTTATGGCTCATGCCACTTGCACACTGAAGTGCTGCTTGCTACAAATGCGGACATATGCATGCCATAACAGTTACTGATATAAAGTATGCTATTGGGCATCATACAGAATGCTATCATACATACTGTACTATTGCCACTATGGCATACAAACCATGGTTGCCAACCGGACGTGTGGATCCAGGCCCAGAAAGTATGGGTCTGGATGTCCGGGTTTGGTGTCTGCTCCTGTAGGTCCGGATGGCCCCTCAGAGTGAAAATTCGAAAAAAATGGTGGTTTTCCAGGTCCTGGGCGCACCTGGGAAATGTCCGGGAAATCGTTTGGCCTTCAGAGACCAATCCGGGCAGGTCCTGACAAGCTTGGGACTCAGTGGGAAGGACAGTCCGGAGAAAACTTACAAAAGTTGACCTGTTCTCTTAACTATTTTATACTTCTTTCTGCTTTACCACCTGGACCGCGCCGGTCACCATGGTCGCCCGGGGGGCCCAGTTCAGGCAAGGGCCAGGGAAGATCCCTTTCATAAACAAAACAAAAAAAAAGTAAAAGAATCCGAAAAAAGAACTCTGTTGTGCAGAAAAATCAAATGAACGACTTTTTCCTCAGGCTGACATTGAAATTCTTTGCAAAGTTAAAAATAAAACAAAATTAAAAATGCTATCCCTTAAGCAGCATTCGCCGTGGGTGGGAGGTCCATGACGCGCTGCGTGCCGGAGTCGGGTTGATGTTTTGGTGAGGTGCAGTGGATGAAGGCGATCAAGGGCAGGGGAGAGTGCAGAGGGGCGCGCCTACCGAAATGTTCACAGTGCGCCATTAAACGAGAGAGCGCGCCCCAGGGGTGGGGCACACCACGGGTGTCGATGCGGAAGAACAGAGGAGAGCCCTCCAATAAGCGTGGATGCTGTTTAATTGTTTGTTTTATTTTTCTTTTTTGTTTTTCACGTCGTTTTGTGCGGCCGGCGTTCTCTTCTTTTTTTTTGTACGTGTTCACGCGTCGTTTTGTGTTCCCTTTTTTTTTTTATGTTTTCAAACTTTTTGCGCGTCGTTTTTTTTTTTCCTTTTTCCCTGGCAGCTGTTGTTTTGCGCTCCCGTTTTCCCTTTTCTTTTTCTTTTTTCTCGTTTTTGCATGTTGTTTTGTGCCCCCCTTTCCCTCTTCTTTTTCACCATTTTTGTGCGTTTTTTTTTTTTTCATTTTATTGACCGCGGCGGGTCCGGTGGGTTTTTCTGCCGTAAAGGGCGGCCCGCCGACCTGCACCCATGCACGCCCGCCCACACACACCCAGCCACCCACACCCACCCACACCCACACACACGCACGCACGCTCGCCCGCCCACCAACCCACCCACACCGATGTTTTTTTTTATTATCATTAATTTGGCTTTTTTTTTGTCGTTGTCAATTTGGCATTACCGGCACCGCTCGCAATGTGGGCACCCGCAACGTATCCGCCTCTCTCTCCTCCCCTTTTCTTGTTCTTTTTTTTTCTGAATTTTCAATCTGTCATTTTTTTTTTTTAATTCATCAATTAAGCTGAAACTACGGAGTCGGTTTTAGGCTATTCTTTATTACCATTTGATTCTTTTTTTTTTTTTTTTAAGTATGTTTAAGTTTATGCGAACGGTCCGCATAAGGTTACCTACAACATTTGTTATTTCTGCGGGCGTAGCCCGCACTGCCCGCACTGCGGGCGCTTAGCTAGTATACATCATATACACTAGATGACTTGTTGTGGCTTCGCTCGCAAAAACAAACGCGACAGGTGATGCAGAATATCTAGAGGCAACCGACGGATGCAAACTCTCTCTCTCTCTCTCTCTCTCTCTCTCTCTCTC